TGGTTCAGGGAAGAAGTATAGTTACATAGTTTAATATATACATCAACATTCTAGCCGCAGTTTTTAATAGTTTGCTTAATTAACAAAAGGTTACAGTCACATAATGAATTGATGATCTAAACACTTAATGTTCTAAAAGCTAACAATTTACATCTGTGATGATTTTATTCATATTTGTGATAAGATACAAGGGTAGCGATCTAATTACAGCACTGTAGCTAAACTTACGGCACATCGTCATGAGATAAGTAAATTATAGAGACTTACAGGCATTGCGAGCCTACACAAATTATGTGTACTATTCACACTAGACAAACTTGGGAGACTTAGCTAGGATATTGGGTATTATGCCATCCAGGATCACATTAGTTGACAACAAATGTCAATTACTTAACGCAAAAATCTTTAGTCAGCAAGTTTCTGAACTTATGTGACTGTGACCTTTCTTTTTGCCTTTATTAAATAATATATAACATAAACATCATTTTTACATTAATTTACAAGGGAAAATACTACATTTATATATATATATATATATATATATATATATATATATATATATATATATGATATAATTTTCAGTAAACCAATTTTCCATATCATCACCGATCATGAGATATAAACCCCAAATGTTATCCCTGATCCTGCCTCGCAAGAACTTTAAAATTATGTCTGCTGAGTAACCCTCCTGCCTCTTGTGACCTTTCTGCCACCGCCCACAGTCGGATGGGTATGAGGACCATAATAATTTAATTATAAACTAATTAAACGTTCCATAGCAGAGTTATAGACCTCTGCGTCCACTTAGATCTTTCTTGAATTCTTCAATTAGTCCTCTTCATAACGTTGGTCAGCAATTATGTGATAAAAGAAATAAGGCTCTACAGTGGTCTGTTGCAGTCCTGCCGCTCCACTAGGCTGTGTCCGTGTGTGAAACAAAGATCCTGAGGCCATGTCAGAGCTTGAGGCTGGTGGTACCAGCTTATCACTCTCAGAACAGAAGGCACGACACCATCTTGCCTCGCTCTTCTTCACTCTGGAATAGTTTGCAATTAAAAAAAATTAATTTGTTAGTGGTTTGCAGCTCTCTTTTTCCTCTACTCCCCCCCCCCCCCGGCAAAAAATAATTGCCGGTGACCTCATATATACAGAAATGTATCACCGGTGTTGAGTTTAGCTGTGTTATATGTAGAATTGACACATGTAGCAAATAAACAAAGGTGCACACATTGGGAAGGTGTGTTAGCAAGGGCGCGCGTGGGAGTCGGCCAAGGTTCCCGGCTCAACACCTCACAACACAAATATCTCTCCATTTACACTGTTTTTCGCGTCACTACTTGTTTTTATCATCGCTTCCTGTGGTCACTTATTTTCTTAAAATTATAATTATTTTTAATGTCATTTTTTTCATGGTGCTTTCTTTACTTTTTAAGTGCAATCTGTAAAGTGTGTGTATATATATATATATATATATATATATATATATATATATATATATATATATATATATATATATATATATATATATATATATATATATATATATATTTCCAGCTAATAATAGGCAATATATCTAAAATTTGTATAACACAAATAATACTGTCACAGAAGTATGTGTAACAATACAGACATTTATAATATAAGTGATGATATATATATATATATATATATATATATATATATATATATATATATATATATATATATATATATATATATATATAATGTCGTACCTAGTAGCCAGAACGCACTTCTCAGCCTACTATTCAAGGCTCGATTTGCCTAATAAGCCAAGTTTTCATGAATTAATTGTTTTTCGGCAACCTAACCTACCTAACCTAACCTAACCTAACTTTTTCCGCTACCTAACCTAACCTAACCTATAAAGATAGGTTAGGTTAGGTTAGGTAGGGTTGGTTAGGTTCGGTCATATATCTACGTTAATTTTAACTCTAATAAAAAAAATTGACCTCATACATAATGAAATGGGTAGGTTTATCATTTCATAAGAAAAAAATTAGAGAAAATATATTATTTCAGGAAAACTTGGCTTATTAGGCAAATCGGGCCTTGAATAGTAGGCCGAGAAGTGCGTTCTGGCTACTAGGTACGACATATACATATATATATATATATATATATATATATATATATATATATATATATATATATATATATATATATATATATATATATATATATTAGTATATTTTGGTAGCAGTCTTTCCTGTAGACATATATTATTAAATATGACCGAAAAAGTAAGATTAATAATTCTAACATGAATTTTCTCGATCTTTCTTTTCACTGTTGATGGTAATTGAAAAATCAATTCTCCAAAATTCATTTTTATTTCTAGTCTGACGCGACACTTGAACGCGTTTCGCAATAACTTATTACATTTTCAAAGACTTTTAGTTTACACACACACAACTATTACCTGCAAACACTAAACAGAGTTCTTACTTATGCCATGATTTAAACAGCTTTCATATTTCATTTTATACCCGCATTTTGGGTGAGGTGATATGTTACAACAGTTTTGGATGAGGTGAACAAAACTTTCCACACTGGATAGAACACGAAACAATGGGTATTGAAGGTAAGAATGGAAGTAATTGCAGAGGGCCTATTGGCCCATATTTCTTGATGCTTCTATATTGGAGCGGAGTCTTGAAGTGGGTAGAATATAGTTGTGCATTAATTGGCTGTTGATTGCTGGTGTTGACTTCTTGATGTGTAGTGCCTCGCAGATGTCAAGCCGCCTGCTATCGCTGTATCTATCGATGATTTCTGTGTTGTTTGCTAAGATTTCTCTGGTGATGGTTTGGTTGTGGGAAGAGATTATATGTTCCTTAATGGAGCCCTGTTGCTTATGCATCATTAAACGCCTGGAAAGAGATGTTGTTGTCTTGCCTATATACTGAGTTTTTTGAGGCTTACAGTCCCCAAGAGGGCATTTGAAGGCATAGACGACGTTGGTCTAGTCGACGTTGGTCCAGACACAAAGCAGAACGCTTTAAAAGAGACCAACGTCGTCTATGCCTTCAAATGCCCTCTTGGGGACTGTAAGCCTCAAAAAACTCAGTATATAGGCAAGACAGCAACATGGGTATGGTGTGTCATTCTGAGCTAAATTATATGCAGAACACAAAACTGAACAAGTTGTCTTCAGATGCGAAGCATTCATGGCATCACATAATTTTCCAAGAGCATCTTCACCTTATCTTGAGGTGCTTCCGGGGCTTAGCGTCCCCGCGGCCCGGTCGTCGACCAGGCCTCCTGGTTGCTGGACTGATCAACCAGGCTGTTGGATGCGGCTGCTCGCAGCCTGACGTATGAGTCACAGCCTGGTTGATCAGGTATCCTTTGGAGGTGCTTATCCAGTTCTCTCTTGAACACTGTGAGGGGTCGGCCAGTTATGCCCCTTATGTGTAGCGGAAGCGTGTTGAACAGTCTCAGGCCTCTGATGTTGATAGAGCTCTCTCTCAGAGTACCTGTTGCACCTCCGCTTTTCAACGGGGGTATTCTGCACATCCTGCCATGTCTTCTGGTCTCATGTGATGTTATTTCTGTGTGCAGGTTTGGGATCAGCCCCTCTAACATTTTCCACGTGTAAATTATTATATATCTCTCCCGCCTGCGCTCAAGGGAGTACAGATTTATGCTCTTTAGTCGGTCCCAATAGATACATATGTGGTGTACAAGATTCTGAATGATTCCTTACACAGGTTCCTGAACGCCGTTCTGATGTTAGCCAGCCTCGCATATGCCGCAGACGTTATTCTCTTTATGTGGGCTTCAGGAGACAGGTTTGGTGTGATATCAACTCCTAGATCTTTCTCTCTGTCTGTTTCATTAAGTACTTCATCTCCTATTCTGTATCCTGTGTCTGGCCTCCTGTTTCCACTGCCTAGTTTCATTACTTTGCATTTACTCGGGTTGAACTTCAATAGCCATTTGTTGGACCATTCACTCAGTCTCTCTAGGTCATCTTGTAGCCTCCTACTATCATCCTCTGTTTCAATCCTCCTCATAATTTTTGCATCGTCGGCAAACATTGAGAGGAACGAATCTATACCCTCTGGGAGATCATTTACATATACCAGAAACAGTATAGGTCAGTGTGTGTGTGTGTGTGTGTGTGTGTACTCACCTAGTTGTGTTTGCGGGGGTTGAGCTCTGGCTCTTTGGTCCCGCCTCTCAACCGTCAATCAACAGGTGTACAGATTCCTGAGCCTATCGGGCTCTATCATATCTACACTTGAAACTGTGTATGGAGTCAGTCTCCACCACATCACTTCCTAATGGTGTGTGTGTGTGTGCTGGGGATTGAGTTCCAGTTTCTGGTCCCCGCCACGTCTCATTAATCACATTTGCATGATCCTTAGCCCCACTGAACGCATAGGTAATGTGTGTGTGCATATGTGCTATACCAATCAACATAAATAGTGTTCGCCAGTAATGCTTCTTTCTCTGTCTCGTGTGGTGCACATTAAGGCTACGGAAGCACTTTCTTTTAGCGCAAGGCTGTGTTTGAATATTGGGCGTGCCTTCCTTTCTATTTTTCATATGTGCCAGAAGGGATATCTAGCGTGCGACCAGTCATTAAAGCTGAGAAAGCGCCTTGATCGTTTCACCCGCACGCCCATTACAACCTGTTAACCTCCACCCTCAGTTCAATCCCAGCTTTAAATAAAAAAAAATGCATATTCACATACACCATATATCAAATTTACATATTATATGCACATTCACATATACCAATTATAGAGGTACCCCACTTTTCGGTTTATATACACTAAGAGCTTACTTTCCCTTATATTTAGGCCTTAAGTATAGTAACAGCTTTAATAACCCTCCATAGGTTGAAAGGCCTTACGCTCAACACTAAACTATATATTTCGGGAACGCGCCAGGTAGCTTCAATAAACCACGATGGTCTCTTTAATGGTGATCAATAAATTATAATAATATTAGTTTACCTTGGATCGTTTTCTGTAGGTGGGAGGCAGCGTCATCTGGCGGCCGGAGAGGAAAGCGGGGCGGCGCAGCTCGGGGGAATATGATGCCCGTATTATCGTAAATTGTTGCTTCCAGGCGGCGATTCTGACCAAGATGCCAGTGAAACGATACCGGCGAGATCAAAGTGAGGTCAGCTGCTGCCTGAAGTATGTCATATTCGGCTTCAATGTCATATTCTGGGTGAGTACAGGAGCTGTGTTTACATCGGCCGCACTGTTGTTGGTGACCTTTCTCCCGTCAGCTGTCAACTCCACCACCTTGCTCAGATTTGTGTCTTCCTGGGGGGGAAGGGGGTGGCCACTGGTTAACAGCCATATACGAGGGGGATAGAAGACGTCTGGTTGAGTAACTAGTAAAGTTGGGTAGAAAGTCAATGAACTGGAAGTGTGAACTCGGACAAAGAGACACTTCCCTCTCGTGACATCACTTCCTGGACCAGTTCTTCATTGTCTCACTCGTCCCGTTATGGGACAGTTAAATCATTGTCGGGCATAATTATTGTGTGTATAGTTGTTATTGAAATAAAAGTGGGTTTATTATACTCTCAGTACCCCAGGCCAGGCTTGTTTACCCTGTGTAAAGCTAGTGTTAAATTGCATCAAGCATTCATTAGCTACTTCCTTGTTAGTTTTTGTGCCCCCATCCCGAGGTGCACTTGATGTATACTGTAGTGTTGAAGTATAATGTCTGTTCAATTTTTGCACACAATTAACCTTAGTCTATTGTGTAAAAATGAGAGGGAGTATTATATATTTATTTACTATGGATATCCTTTTCCCCTACTTTTTCCTTTGTATTTCCCTGCTAGTAACACTTTATTGTTTGAGTTTTGACCATAAATTTGGCAAATAACTTCATATGCTGTTTTTTTCAAATATGAGGTGTTAAACACATTTGTTCACAAGGTTTAATGAAGTACAATACTGTACTCTGAGAACTCGAAGTCATATTAGGATGTCTTTATATTTTTTTTAATTTATCCAGAATTCACCATTGACTGCTCAGAAGTTGTTTAGCATTGATGACTGGTATGTTAGGCAATAAGCTTTTTCTAGCCTGTAATTATTCCCATCCTTTTCCTGATTAGTGGCTCTGAGGATCAAACAATGAGCTGCCCTAAGCCCTAAACACTGTGAGTGTTGGTGGCTTTGCAAGAATGTAAAAACATCGGTGCTATTTACTCTCATAGACCCAATGTACCTTCTTGTATATACAGTATAAATAAATAACATAATAAATGACTTGGCAGTTCCAGTGCCTGGCCTAGTGCTAAAACTTCATCAAATTAAATTCTTGTAAGAAATCATGCCCTTATCAAATCTTGATACTCAAGATCAGAGAATGCTGAAGCAACCTTACTTGTACAGAATAGGAAAGTGAACTAGTGATATAAGAAAAGCAAAGCACTATTAAATAAAGAGCTTTGGTAAAGTCATAATACAGTAAACTTTAAATGTGGAAATCGGTATCGACAGTGTTGTTCGTTGTACATTCGGGAAGCTGAATACAAACATTATCATAAAAAATGGTGAGAAATCCTGAAGGAACAATAAAAACCCCATGAGGCCCCCTACTGAAGTCAGTCCAAGTTTTTACGTATGACTCGCAAGCACTTGAGTGGAAGGGCCTAAAGACTTCCTGTGATTTCAGTAGAAATCCAGTTGTATGACTTTCACAAGTCACAGTGGTCTAGTGGTAGAGTATGCGGCTGGGAATGCCTTGGTTGTTGGTTCATGCCACCTCACAGCCCTAGTGGATTTTCTCTAATAATAATAATACTTTATTCATGAGCATTTACTTAAGATAGAAATATTTGAGGGTACAAGGGTGGCACATTAAATGAAGCCATTACTAAGGAAAGGGTCATGGGCAAAACTTGAAATAATTCTAATCAGTTATTTATAAGTATAATGTCATTAATACAATACTAAATGAGAAGGAAGGAACACTTGTAAGAGTTCGTTAAATATAACAAAGGATAAAGTGATGCTTAATGATGAAAAGCATAGACTACTACATTAATTGTTTCAACAGTATTAATGACAGCAAGGATATACAAAGATGCATTATAGTTAAGCCACAGTATCGTAAATGTGTAATTTTTAAAATAGGCATTTGTGGAATTAAAGTTCAGAGTAGGGTCAGTCATTGAAGGAGAGTGGCTAGTGCAATGAAAGTTTTGGTTAGGAATAACCTTCCCTCCCGTCTCTCCTTTTCTACTCTCAAATTTCTCGAGTACACTTGTCACCAGTCTATTGTCATCCTATTGTTGAACATGCCCAAATTATCTTAATATGTACCCTATCTTGCTGTTTATTAGTTTTCTCACTCCACATCTTCCCCATGATATTTTCATTCCTTATGCATTTTTAACACTGCCCATACTTCAGTGTCAATTTATATTGTTCTAATTTGATTTTTCCATGTTAGTACTACACCATCGTATCACAACTATACACAAGAGTTGGCACAGTATTGCATGCACCTGTTTGTCGTCTTTTTTTTTTTTTTTGTCTCCTTATTGCCTTTAAAATATAAAAAAATACTGAAACTATTGTATTTTTTCAGTTGATGGGACTCAGTATCTTGGCAATTGGTGTGTGGGCATGGACGGAGAAAGACACGTTTAATAACCTTAGTCGTCTCACTAACATTGCCCTTGATCCAGCCTTTGTTCTTATTGTCACCGGTGAGTTGTATACCTGTTAGATTGTCAACATAATTTAACCATCCAAATTTTGCCACAAGTTCTACAGTGGTGGCAGGGAAGGGAGGGTAGCTTTGATACTTAATATGGAATGAATTCAGATTAGATAGTATAGGATGAGGGCCATTAAAAGAAAGTGCAAATTTCTCTCTTGGAGACAAGAGACGTGTGTGTGTGTGTGTGTGTGTGTGTGTGTGTGTGTTGGCATCAGTGAAGTATTTGCTGTTTGTTAATAAAAAAAGATGTGCTAAAATCTTCTGAAATGAGGTGAAGTTTCAAAAATAGTTTTTAATACATTATTTCCAGAGTAATGTGATGGCAAAGTTTCAAATAGCAACATAGGTGCAGAGGAATATTTAAATAACTGAATAATAAATAATACCAGATGGTTATATTTGCAAGGAAGCCTTTATATGTATATGTGGGATGAGTGAACAGAAAATATAGGTTACAGTAGTTTAAGTAATTAGGTGATGAATTTAAAAATAGGGTTATGATGCCTTTAAAGCTCGAGAGGTTTAAGTAGATGCACATTCCTAAGGGCTGATAAAATGCGAATAAGTATACTGTAACTAAAATAAGAAAATGCAGCAAGATTGGTTGGTGGGAAGAGGAATGCAATTAGCATTCACATTCACTTGTTTACACAATACTGTAGTGAATCATGTAAGTTAAAATGGGTTAAGTAAATTTGTTAGGGACTCATAGTTATGAGAGGTATTGACTTTGGAGAATAGGTGGTAAAGATGGAATAAAGGTGGTGTTATGGAAAATGGGCACAAATTTCTGGAGATGACAGTACAAAAGAAGTCCTTATCAACTGTTATGGTCTTAATTTTTATTACAGTATTAATGTATAGTTCTCTTATTTATTAATTATAACTTAAGTTGAATGTGTTCCTGTAGATCTAATGCATGTGTGTTAACATGTATATTGTACAGTACTGTATGCTGACTAAACCACACACTAGAAGATGAGGAGAGGATGACGTTTCGGTCCATCCTGGACCATTACCAAGTCGATTGTTCATGTCGACTTGATAATGGTCCAGGATGGACCGAAATGTTGTCGTCTCTTCATCTTCTGGTGTGTGGTTTAGTCGTCATATCTTCAGCAACGTTATTGTGACTCATCATCTGCATACAGTATTGTATTTTTACATTGATAAAATACTGTATACCATACCATGCTTATTGTTGGTCTGCATCTGTAATGATAATTATTTAGCTTGTAAATGCTAAAATAACTAAAATGGCACACTGGTTATATTGGTTTAATTTTTCAGGGTTGATTACCTTTACTATTGGCTTCACCGGTTGTGTTGGCGCCCTGAGGGAAAACACCTGCTTGCTAGCATGTGTGAGTACTATTACTGGGTATCCCAGGAATAGATATTTTGTGGCTTTTGTCATGTTTATTTTTCTTCCTTAGGGTTTCTGGTCAGCATGCTATGACTAGCTTCTGTTATTGATTTAAAACTTGACATCTTTAAAGTTTAAGCCTAAAAATGTGGCTGCTAAAGAAATTAAGCAGTGTTGCCCAATAACAACTTTAATTTTATACTAAAACAACAATTGTTTGTGATATATTGATTTCTTATTGTTTTAGCTTTAAACCTGTAACTAGTTTCACAACTCTTAACACTCCAACCAACACCACCACCTTCCCTTTCTACATATTCTCTGCTCTTATTTACCCTCCTTAGTCACTTCCTTCCCTCTGATTCTCCACTACACACACACCCCCTCTAACAAAACCTGCTTGCTCACATCCAACCAATACACCACACCACCAACAGCCATGTTATGACCACTCCCACCAGACACTCACACAACCTACACACCCTACTAAGTCTCTTACAGTCCCACTCCAACCCTAACCATGCTGCAACCACAATGAGACTAAACACATACTGTATGCCCACCCCAAGCAGCCTCTTTTACGTGTGGAGAAGGCAGATACTGTATTGAGAAGATAAAATACTAAACACCACAAAGAACTAGTTACTACTATAGTATAATGTTTAAATACATAGTTTGTGGGAGATGACTAATCTAAGGAACTTGAGAACACATCACAACAGGAGAGCAAAGGGGTTGCCTGCTGAAAGTCTCGTGTGAAAATGAATTGGAGGGGAAGATGCCAAATTTGATGGAATTTGCAGCCCAGAAATATACAGAAGCAAAGAGGCTTATCCCATTGTAAATGTAATAAAAACGAGTAACCGATGGTTCAATTGGCAATGCTGGGAGCAAAGAATAAAGCATGATAGAAAGGAATTTAAACATTACTGAGAAGTTCAGGTGAAGAGGTCATCATGGAGGCACAAAGAGAAGCCAAATATAAGTGCACCAGAGACGAGAAAAATAGCAAAACAATGGATATTATACAGTACTATACTAAGCTGCCATTACAAAATGGATTTTTCAGTACTGCATGTGCACATGGGTATAGCACAAATGAGACAATGGGTTGTTATTTACACATTCATATTCCCACTCCATCTACTTGCAACCTATCTGCCCAAGCCTTTCCAATTGACTTTCATACTCTATCCTTCAACACAAGGCCAACCCACAATGTCACCATAAACTATTCAAGTGCACCACACCTCCATCCTGTCCACCACATGGGTCATAATATTGTATGTATTGCAAGATTCCTGACTGATGGATTGTAGATGGATCTCTCTTATTAACAATATTCTTGTTACTATACAGTGCATTATTTACTGTGCATCTTGTATCAAATATAAATTGTCTAAAATTGTAAATTTATTGCCTCTATAATATCAAATTATTAAAATAATTGAAACCCCAAAATGAGATTTCCTGAATTTTACTAAAAGGAATGAAGTGCACCAACATCACTTGACATGAACAACATGTGGAATACATAATTTAATTATGAATGTTAATACAGTACAGTACAATTAATGGTGGGAGGTTGGAGTGGGGGGGAGGGAGGGGGAAGACAGCATACGAGATTGATGAGCTCCATAGTTAGAATTGTGTGTTTATTAGTTGTTGACCATTATTCATGAATTGCAAGGAACTTCATATTGGAACTGATAAACTAGTATAAGTGGGATAAATTCAAATACTGTAAGTTACCCTGATGTGTACTTTCTGTAATAAAATAAATGGTTTTGTTTGAAAGCATTAAATCTTTTGTCTGCCAGAATAACTGAATATACTGCATATTATATATTAAAAGGCTATATCCTTTATGTATATTGCCGGCGAGAAACAATGGGCAGAGTTTCTTTCACCCTATGCCCCTGTTACATAGCAGTAAAATAGGTACCTGGGTGTTAGTCAGCTGTCACGGGCTGCTTCCTGGGGGTGGAGGCCTGGTCGAGGACCAGGCCGCGGGGACACTAAAAAGCCCCGAAATCATCTCAAGATAACCTCAAGATAGATCCTAATTTTGATATTTTAATTTGGTTTGAGTAAAATATTTTTTGTACAAGTTAATATTTACTACAAATTTTCTGGCAAAGAACCAAATTGCTCACTTTTTACCTGCTAATAACGAAAACAGAGTCCTACTCTTTGCACTGATGACAAAGTTAATAATCTTAAATTATCACAAGCTCTGGTAATAAGTAGGTTTAAAAATGTAAGGTATTGCAGGGTCAAACTAGGGTTTATGAGCTCTCATGGTTATGGAGGGTAAACTTTGGGAAATGGCTTTAATTCCTTATTGATTCACTGATTTTGGGAATGTAAGGTGAATATCTTTTTCCCTTCTGATGTTTCCTTTGTCCATCTTGTGTAGCACCTCTTGATACATTACTTATTCCTTTAGTCTCCACATTGTCTTATCAACACATGCAGTTTTTCCATTTTTTGTATTTCTCACTTGTGGCTTGTTTCATTTTTTGTTCCTTCAGATTTTTTTCCTTTCACTTGAACATTTTTCAAAGCAACCCACTAAATATTTCAAAGTTTTGTCTGTTTCTAAATTCATGAGACATGTATAACTTTCCTTGGCAAATGTTCACCTACATTTGAAGGTGATTGTAATATATAATGTCATTGGCTTGAGGGAGCTTGATAAGCCTAACAGCTTCCTATCCCCAAGACTGGGGAAACCATTACACGAGTTTGTCTGGTCAGTAGAAATGCCATTCTTGATTTCTAGTTAAATGTAGAATATGTATGTTGAACTTTACAAGATGGAAAAACAATATTCTTGTACTTTACAAGAAGTTTTAAATGTCCTGCCTACTCTTTCAGTATGCTATCTTCCTGGCCATCCTGCTACTTTTGGAGATGACAGCTGGCATTTTAGGATTCATCTTCAAGGACTGGGTGAGCTTAATTTCCTTTTTTTTTTTTTTTTTTTTTTTTTTTTTTACCTGTGGGGAGCCTCTTTGGCTCCCCAGAGCCATACTGGGCTGATGTGCCCAGACAGTGGCAACAGTCAATCGATAGAGTTCTAAGCCTACAGGAGACCAGCGTCAGAACTTGGCCCCCTCAGATGAGGCACGAGGAGCAATGGCCTTTAGACACCCATGTAATTAGAAGCAGTCTGTCTGCCGTCTACCAGGTCAGACACCCACAAAGGTAAGAATTCCAAAACACACTACAGCTGGTTAAAAATTGCAAACTGAAAGCAGAACTAGCAAACAAAAGTCCCCAATCGAAAACGAGCAAACAAGCATGACATCACCGCCTCGCTGCTGTCTGCGCCAAGGTTGCTCTGTCCCCTTATCTCATGGTGACACTCGCCATCTTTGCTATGCTGCCTGTTAGGTCAATGACACCTTTGACCTGGAGTCCTGCGAGTGGTGTTCTTTGCATGTACTCTAATTCACCCAGTCCACTGATGTTGATATTTGGGTGCAGGCAGCTTCAGCATTGCATGCATGGTTTAGGTTGCTGCAATGAGCTAGGTTGGTTGCCGTTCCGGATGCCTCGCAGCTGCTCCGCTTTGGTTATAGAGACCCAGATTTGGGTGTGTTAGTCGTCTCGACTTTGGTTTCGTCCACGCCCCCGTATGCTTCCCCTGCTGTGATTCATCCTGCTCCCAAACGTATGAGGGTTTCGGAGTCGGGGCAGGGTTTTCTTGATGGTGAGACTCGGGCGGCTTCGGGGACTGCCTCTTCCGGTTCGGCGGCAGAAGCATTTGAGCCTGTTCCTCCTGCCAGGGCTTTTGGGTTGTGCCAGCTGGCTCCTTTCATCCCTGCTTTTCCAGTGGACTCTGCCTTTTTTCCAGAGGCAGAGGTTTTGTTGGACGGCTCGGCCCTTTGGTCTTTGTCCACCCTGTTATTCTGGTGGTTCCCACTAAGTCCACGTGATTATGCATGTTGCAGGGGTTCAGCTTTAATTGTTCTCTGTAGTTTGGGCCAACTGGTTAGCAGTACCTTGTCTGGGCTTCCATTAGCAGTCAGCCTAAGGGCCCTGGAAAATCCCATTGGACTCCTTGGTGTAGTGGATGCGTCCTCTGGATCCCATCTTGCCTTGAGCAAGTTCTAAAGTTGGTGTGACCAGCGGACCCCCCCTTCCTTTTCCTAGCTTTTCCGGTGGACTCTGCCTTTTCTTTATGGGTGGAGGGTTTGGATGGCGGCTCTGCCCCAGGTCCTGGCGTGGAGGATCCCCGGAGCTGGGGAGAAGTTGCCTTAGGGAGGGCTTGGACGTTGTTTGACCCTGCTTGGGTGTTAGTATCCTCGATGCGGGGCTTGTTGTTGCAGGGGAAAGGGGGTTTTCTTACCTCTTCTCTGAATTTGATATGGGTTCTGCTCCTCCCCGGGTTCGGTTCCGGGTTCCCTTAGGCTCTACGGTCCTTTCCGGAGGTTTTTGGCTTCCCGCCTAAGGAGGTTCGGGATGCCCTTGCGGCGTACCTCCTACGTGACCCGGATTGTGACTTGATAATGGACCCTTCCTTGTTTGAGTTTGGTTCTACTTTTCCTTATTGGGTGCGTTACGAAGTTCCGGAAGTTCCGGAGTCATCCTGGTTAGCAGACTGCCCTTTCTTTTCTTTGGGGGCGTGGCATTCGTTCTGTCGGACCCACAGGGAATGGCGGGAAACTTCTACGGTGGTTCAGGTTTACCTGGGGGTGAGTTGGAGCACCTCGATGCGTGCTTATTCGCCCCCATTCTTCCTAGGGATATTGGCCAGATGTAGCTTCACATGCACGTTCCCGTCCTTTCGGCATCCCTGGTAGCTGAGGATTTGCACGCCCTGGGGGTACTTGGCTTCGGTTTTGTGTTGGCCAGCTGTCAGGCCAGAGTTTCCACAAAGAGATAATTACCTAATTATTTCAATGTCTCTGATTGATTTTTCGTAGTTTTTTTGCTGTAATATTATTCAATAGTGTGTAGTGTGATATATTTATATAATAAAATGAGTGAATCATCGCTGTACTCAAAAATATGGTGTGCATATTGTTGATTCAATTATGTTCATCAAACAGTGAACAAATACTTTGTCGGTTATTACACTATATACACAGGTTATATATAAGTATCTGCATGTTTTGTTCACCATGACAAACCACTAAGTTGGTATGCTGAGTGGCAGGCAGTAACTGGCTGCCACTCCCTCCCTCACCTCACCTCACCTGACTTGCCACCATTCTCCACCCACCATACTGTTTTTGCTTTTATATACAGACGTTATATATAAGTATTTACATGTTTTGTTCACCATAACTGTACATCTAAGCTTGTATGGTGAGTAAAGGCACAGAGACGTAGTTACTCGCACAGTCGGCTGGTGGCGGCCGCCCTCAAGGCCAGACGCACTAATATTTCTCCTACAACAATACTGTTTGTGGTGTTATTACGCTATATACACACATTATATATAAATATCTACCTGTTTTATTCACCATACTTGTACAAGTAAACTGGTATGGTGCCCAAAGACCATCGTGGTCATCAGTAAACAACATGATAAGTCCTGCAGACGACGCTCCACCCTCATCAAAATGGCGACTCCCAACCTCCTACTCTCGCTGTTATCTCACACTATACACGCGTTATATATAAGTATCTACATTTGTGTTCACCATAGCGAACCACTAAGCTGGTATGGCGAGTGCAGTCAATAAAAGGTGGCCACACACACTCAAAAGACAACGCCACCATCCTCCCTCCCACAGCATTACTCCTCCCTCCATGGCGCACAGTGCCAAATATCACCACAATCCTGCTATTATCAGAACCCTGGTCAGTTTTATCACAGTCAGGGGTCTTCTGTAATAATATCATCGCTACATAATAGCATGAACAGGTATATTATGGCATTTTTAGGCGATGCTGTGGTCACAAACTGAACAGCAGTGCTGTGAGCTCATGCTGCGTGCGTCAGGCTTGGCAGCTGAATCAATACTGAGGCCCCTAACACCCGGGAGTTTGGCCCACGATTTTTTTTAAAAATGGCGTCTGTTTACAAGAGCCCTGATGAAGGTGTGGTAAACCCCGTGTATCCGTGGGCCGTTTAAATCTTGCATAGTACTCCAAAGCATCACATGATGCGATGCGCAATTTACTGCAAGTCGGTCAAAGCATCATATGATGCGATGCGCAATTGAAGGGTTAATGTGGTGTAGCTTGATACTATTCTCGGTTATCTGGCAGAATCCCCAGTTTCTGGATTTCTGTCAGGATATGGTAAAGTTTTGCCAGAAATTTTTTTGGATGTGATTTTGGCTAAATAACCCAAATATCTAGTTCAACGGGCTTCAGATAATAGAACTTGTACAGTATTTGTATAAAATGAAGAGTATATGACAATATCTGAGAAACATTGTGTTTCTAGTCTTATGAAGCAGCGGGTTGCCGCTAGTGGACGACCTTGAATGTTGTAGTATTTATGTGCTGCTTTATGTTGTATTGTGAAATGAGTGGTAGAGTGATAATTTTAATGTTTTTAATTAATATCTTTTTATTATACTGTCTTACTGCACTGTACTATGGACCTCCAAAGTTTCCTCTGGCTTCATGCTTGCCAGGCATAGTTCGCCATTTTTTTGGTCCCAACATGTCTACTCATGTTTGTAATTCACAAGAGATGTCAGAACTTGGTGTTAAAACTGTTATGAGTGTAAGTTTTTAATTTTTTATAATGTTGGTGGTATTTTCATTTAAGTTTAATTCGGTGCATTTCTCATTCTCATAAATATGATGTGAATACATGATTGTAAATTGCTATCCCATGCAGGTATTATAGGAAATTTTTGCATTATAATTTCCTTTTACCAATCTTCAGATTAAATCCCAAGCTACAAATGGATTTCAAGCATTTATTGTACACTACCGAGATGACCCAGACCAACAAAATCTTATCGATTGGATACAGGAGAAATGGGTAAGTCTAATCTGCATTTTCTGAAATTAATAAAAATTCACTTTGAGTGATATGATGTACAGTAGTTCAAAAAAGACATGGTAGTTTAGGATTTGTTAATCCTGTTTTCTGTTATTTTGTTTTGTCCTCATTTTCTTAATTTTACACTTAACACTATCGTTCTCTTTGGACATGACTCGCGTCCATTTTTTCTCTCTCGGGTCCTAGCTGTGGACAGGACTTGCGTCCACTACAAAAATATTTGTATAAAATTCATTTCTTATCTGATCGACCTTTGTATAGTTGCAAAATAAGCGCCTTTAGAATGCGCACAATTTGATACCAAAATGAAAGATGTAACACGAAACTTGATGTCAGAACACTTGAAAGATTATAAATACGTTTTTGGGTCTAAATTTTAAAATTTGTTAAAATTCTATTTATTGTGCTATTATTATGGGACTAGTTTTAAAATGCGCGCCTTTATATTGCGAACAATTTGATACCAAAACGAGCGATGTAACATGAAAATTGATGTTATCAAACTGACTGAGTATACACATTAGGTTGTGGTGTGCAAATTGGTTCTCATTCACGGGTAACTTTAGGCTTTGCTGTAGGGAGTCTCGCCAGGCTTTTGGACATTATATGCATATACATCTGCAGGGAATTTAATTGCGAACACAATGATACCAAAACGAACGACGTAGCACAAGAATTAAGGTGAGAAAACTGAAACGAGTATACACATTTAGGCGTTGCCGCACGCTCGCCTGCACCATTGGCCCCATGACGTCAAAGTCTGCGGTGCGCGCGTGGCGCCGGCGATAGTGTTAATAAGTGGGATTGGTAGGAATTTGTTGGAAAAAGGCAAATTGTATTGCACTAGACTTTCTGTAGAAATGTTTCGTTTGAGTTCAAGGCCACTGTACAGAGTAGGATATGGTACATAATTGAAATTAGGAAATAGCTAATACTTGTTGCAAAGATTATGAAAGGCAAAAATTGATTCAGCTTAAGGGAATGTATTACCAAAGTACGAAGAATTAGGTAGATATGTGAAAGATGAGAAAAGGCCTTTGAAGCTGATCTTCAATACTGTATCGTTATATAGATGGAGGAACATGAAAGTGTGCCAAAGGATAGGTAATAGGGAGAGATTTGTCATGGGAAGATAAATATATGATAGAGATGTAGAGCAGAGGTTAATGAGTTAAATGAAAACAAAAGTAGAGGAAGAGGAGTTTCATCTACAGGACGGTGGTGCCGGGAAATAGGGTCAAACACTAGGGTATACGCAGAAGCCCAGCTAAGAATAACCAGTATTAATCTTGACTTGAATTGTAATAGACTACAGATATGATTTAACTGTTAAATAATAAAATGTACCTGTATATAAATATATCTGCAAAACTACTAATCCTACAACAGTTTGGTTTTTTATATAAAGCCAATGGAATTTAATTGTACTCTACTTTGGGACCAGCTTAAACCAAATTTTGAAGTATTTGCTGCTTGGTATAATGGAATTTTGAACCCTTTCATTACTTGGTCAGTACAATCATTAACCAGCATGCTTGTATCTCATGATACAATATGCCAGCATGTGAATACATGGATACCTTCCTTGAGTGCCCTCGTGTGATGGTACCATATCTAGTTTCTTCATCGGTTAACATTCACCCATGTTTGTCTCTCAACATTCCTATTAAGTTTTCCAGCATTTTCCTCGATGCACTTCCTTGCTTTTGAAAAGTGTTTCTGCAACATTTTGTATTTTATACTATTCTCATTTTTCTTAATTCATATCAAGACTAGCTAGATGGATGGTGCTGAATAGCATCTTTCATATGCATTTGGTTATTAATTTTTATTTCTCCTCGATTCACAGTTGGAGTGTTGTGGTATTGAAGGACCCAAGGATTGGGATCGCAACGTATATTTTAACTGCTCCTCAGAAGCTGTCGGCTCTAGGGAGGCTTGTGGAGTGCCATTCTCGTGTTGTAAACAAAAAGCTAATGTGAGTAAAATTTTTTGCTATTAAAGCATAAAATATAAATCTTAAATATGAAGTAAAGATATAAAAATAAATTGTAATTAATATTAATATTGTGGTTTTGTTTGTGTAAATGTGGATGCATGTTTTATTTATTTATATTTATTATTATTATTATTATTATTACAGTGGTGCCTCGGAGTACGAGTGTCCCTGTATGTGAGTTTTTCGGAATACGAGCAGGATTTGCTCGGAAAATGTGCCTCGGAAGGCGAGTGTGTTGATACGCGTACAGGCCGATCTAGCGCGTGGTGGTACGGCGATCGTCGCCCCTCACCCCTCAGTTTACCAGTGCCTCGCGCCCAGTGACTATCCCGCGTCAATTCTTCACCAGGAATTTCAGTGTTTTGTTGGATTTTTGGTCATTTGACCATAAAAGTTATTATATATCTCGCCATGAATCCCAAGAAAGCCAGTGGTAAGGATCAAGGCAAGAAAGCCCGTGTGAGGATGAGAATAGAGGAGAAACAAGAGATCATTCGGAAGCATGAAAATGGTACACGTGTTGTTGAACTTTGTAAGCAGTACAACAAAGCCACGTCAACGATGTACACTATACTTAGCAAGAAAAAGGACATTATGAGTGCTAAAGTGGCAAAAGGCGTAAGAACAATCACGAAACAAAGACCACAAATACTTGAAGAAGTGGAAAAGTTGTTATTAATTTGGATACACAACAAGGAGTTAGCGGGTGATAGTGTTTCAGAGGCCATTATTTGTGAGAAAGCCAGGGTATTGCACGAAGACCTTGTAAAGAATATCCCTGGAACGAGTGCAGATACGATAGACTTTAAGGCAAGCAGGGGATGGTTTGAAAAATTTAGAAAAAGAGAAGTGGTATCCATAGTGTTGGAAGGCATGGGGAGGTTGCCAGCTCAGACAAACCAACAGCTGAACGATTTATTGAAGAATTGAGTTTGCAGAGGCTGAGGGATACCTACTGCAACAAGTTTTTAATTGTGATGAAACGGGACTGTTTTGGAAAAGATTGCCTAAGAGGACATACATTACCAAGGAGGAAACATCCTTGCCTGGACACAAGCCTATGGAAGATAGGTTTATGCTTGTGCTGTGTTCAAATGCGAGTGGTGATTTGAAAATTAAACCCTTGCTAGTGTATCATTCTGAAAATCCAAGGGTTTTCAAACGGTATAAAGTGCAGAAACACCAAATGTGTGTGATGTGGAAAGCTAATAAAAGGGCATGGGTGACTAGGATTTTTTTTTTTTGGAATGGGTGAATGAAGCGCTGTGCCCTGCCATAAAAAAATATCTGCAGGAGAAACATTTGCCACTCAAGGCCCTACTCCTCGACAATGCTCCTGCTCATCCTCCAGGATTGGAAGATGAATTGATGCACAGATACAATCAATTTCTCACAATAAAGTTCCTTCCTCCTAACACCACTCCTCTAATTCAGCCTATGGACCAGAAAAATCATAGTGAATTTTAAGAAACTGTATGAAAGGGCTCTTTTCCGGAAATATTTTGAAGTGACTGAAGCCACAGACCTCATTCAAGAGTTCTGGAAAGACCATTTTAACATTTGTAGTTCTTTAAAACTTGTTGACAAAGCCTGGCAAGAAGTGACTCAAAGAACCCCGATTTCTGGCTGGAGAAAATTGTGGCCTGAATGTGACAGAACTAGACTTTGAGGGGTTTGAGCCTGTAAATGATGCGCCTATTGTTGAGGAAATTGTTACTCTGGGCCGGCATATGGGCTTGGAATTGGATGGTGATGATGTGGAGGAGTTGGTGGAAGAACACAACAAAGAATTGACCACCAAAGAACTCCAAACCCTTCAAAAGGAACAGCAAGAAGACCCAGCTGAGGATGTTTCTCCAGTGGAGGAGGATGAGGCAGTAGCGAATGTCCCTTCTGCAGAAATTAAGGTGTGTCATATATGGGAAGAGATGCAAACTTTTATTGAAAAGACTCACCCAGAGAAAGCTGTAGTAGGCTGTTACCTTAAACTTTTCAATGACAATGTGATGCCTTACTACAGAGACAGCTTGCGAAGAAGGGAAAAACAAGCTTCCATGGACAGATTTGTTGAGAAAATCGAGCAGTGACCACAACCAGGACCTAGTGGTATGCAGGCAAAACGTGCCAGGAGTGCACACCAGAAAGGTCCTCACTGCCTGATGTTATAACGGAAGGGGACTCCCCTTCCAAACACTAACACCTCTCCTCCTTCCCCCTCCTCACCATCTTCCATACACCAACAGCAAGGGTAAGTAATAACGTGAACATAGTTTTGTAGATTTATTTAGATGAATTAGGTATAAAATTTAGTTTGAAGTGAGGTTTTTGGGTAGTCAAGAACGGATTAATTCATTTCCCATTATTTCTTATGGGGAAATTAGTTTTGGATTACGAGCTGTCTCCAGGAATGGATTAAACTCTTAAACCGAGGTACTACTTCAGTGGTACCTCGGTTTAAGAGTTTAATCCGTTCCTGGAGACAGCTCATATTCCGAAAACTCGTATTCCGAAGCTAATTTCCCCATAAGAAATGATGGGAAATGAATTAATCTGTTCCTGACTACCCCAAAAACCCCACTTCAAACTAAATTTTATACCTAATTCATCTAAATAAACCTACAAAACTATGTTCACGTTATTACTTACCTTGCTGTTGGCGTATGGAAGATGGTGAGGAGGAGGAAGGAGAAGAGGTGTTACTGTTTGGAAGGGAAGTCCCCTTCCATTATAATATCAGGCAGTGAGGACTTTACTGGTGTGCACACACTGGCATGTTTTGCCTGCATACCACTAAGATTCTTAGCAAGACAAGTAAGTCTATCTAAAGACACTTGTTTTTCCCTACATTTTAACACTTGTCTGTAGTAAGACATCACATTGTCATTTAAAAGATTAATGCAACGGCCTGCTACAGCTTTATCTGGGTGAGTTTTTTCAACAAAACTTTGCAATTCTTCCCATACTTCACACATTTTCTTAACACTTTAGCGTTATCACGGCGCTCGAGAGCGTTACCACTTTTTGTATTGAGGTTGCACAGCGAACTCGCTCAAGAGTTGCAAGAAAAAATATTTCTATAAACTCTGTTATGCGATCGACTTTGGGATAGTTTGAAAATGTCCGCCATGAAATTTCCGTTTTCTCTAATAGCAGCATAGTCTATTTGGGAGAACGGCATAGCATTGCACCATCGAGGTAAGACCAATGTATTGTTGACACGACAAGTGTAATCGACGTAGTTTTTTATTTTGTGCCGGTCTAACGCATCCTTGTTTGACATTTTATACTTATGTTCTTCTAGAACATTCTATTGCGAACACATTGGTACAAAATTGAAATACGTACATCGAAAATTAATGTCAGGACAGTGAAAAGTGTGTACACTTTTCAGTGTTGCCACTTGATCGCCCGAAACGCCGCACTAATTTCTTGGGTTAAACCTTACCACTGGCTTTCTTGGGACCCATGGCGAGATATATAATAACAACTTTTATGGTCAAATGACCAAAAATCCAACAAAATACTGAAAATCCAGGTGAAGAATTGATGTGGGATAGTCACTGGTAAACTGAGGGGTGAGAGGCGACGATCGCCGTACCACCACGCAATAGGTCGGTCTGTACGTGTATCAACAAACTCGCCTTCCGAGGTAACCCTCGCCTTCCGAGGTAACCCTCGCCTTCCGAGGTAACCCTCGCCTTCCGAGGTAACCCTCACCTTCCGAGGCACATTTTCAGAGCAAATACTGCTCATATTCCGAAAAACTCGTATTCAGGGGCACTCGTTTTTCGAGGTACCACTGTAATGCTTTGAAATTATTGACGGTTTTGGCCTCCACCACTTTCTCACTTAACTTGTTCCAACCGTCTACCACTCTGTTTACAAAAGTGAATTTTCGTATATTTTTTCCAGCAGCTTTGTTTCGTTAGTTTAAATCTATGACCTCTTGTTCTGGAAGTTCCGGGTCTCGGGAATTCTTCCCTATCAATTTTATCGATTCCTGTTACTATTTTGAACGTAGTGATCATATCGCCTCTTTCTTCTATCTTCCAGTTTTTGCATATTTAATGCCTCTAACCTCTCCTCGTAGCTCTTGTCCTTCAGTTCTGGGAGCCACTTAGTGGCATGTCGTTGCACCTTTTCCAGTTTGTTGATGTGCTTCTTAAGATATGGGCACCATACAACCGCTGCATATTCCAGCTTTGGTATAATAAAAGTCGTGAACAATATCTTTAGTAATTTTTCCATCCATGTATTTAAAAGTAATTTTGAGGTTAGAAAGTGTAGCATAGGCTCTTCGCACAATGTTCTTATACCCCTAGCATGTTAAGGGTTAATATCCTTTCTTCCCCACAGGCGCATGTAATTTTGAAAAAAACAAAAACAAAAAAAATTTTCTTCCTAACCTGTTAATTTGTGTTCACTGATCACGGGAAAAATAATAAAAATTGTAAGTGGCATATATTGCCCGCTATAGGGCGGGGAAGTCTGGCAAAAAATAGGACGCACTCAGCGTGCGTCCTAGGCGGTCTGTTGCTCGCCAGCTGTCAGGCCGGAGTTGCCACAAAGAGATAATTACCTAATTATTTCAATGTGTCTGATTGATTTTTCATAGTTTTTTGCTGTAATATTATTCAATAGTGTGTAGTTTGATATATTTATATAATAAAATGAGTGAATCATTGCTGTACTCAAAAATATGGTGTGCATATTGTTGATTCAATTATGTTCATCAATCGGTGAACAAATACTTTGTCGGTTATTACACTATAAGCACAGGTTATATATATATATAAGTATCTGCATGTTTTGTTCACTATAACGAACCACTAAGTAGCTATTATGAGTCAAAAAGTAACGAGGAGTGACCTCCGTGTACCAGCCAGCCACTCCCGCCCTCTCAAGTCATCTGTCTCGCCCACATTCTCCTCCCACAATACTGTTTTTGCTATAATTCACTATATACAGACGTTATATATAAGTATCTACATGTTTTGTTCACCATAACTGTACATCTAAGCTTGTATGGTGAGTAAAGGCACAAAGACGTAGGACCTCGCACAGTCAGCTGATGGCTGCCGCCCTCAAGGCCAGACACACTAATATTTCTCCTCCAACAATACTTTGTGGTGTTGTTATGCTATATACACACATTATATATAAATATCTACCTGTTTTATTCACCATACTTTTTTTTTTTTTTTTTTTTTTTTTTTTTTGAGATATATACAAGAGTTGTTACATTCTCGTACAGCCACTAGTACGCGTAGCGTTTCGGGCAGGTCCCTGGAATACGATCCCCGCCGCGAAGAATCGTTTTTTCGTCCAAGTACACATTTTACTGTTGCGTTAAACAGAGGCTACAGTTTAGGAATTGCGCCCAGTAAATCCTCCCCGGCCAGGATACGAACCCATGACATAGCGCTCGCGGAACGCTAGGCGAGTGTCTTACCACTACACCACGGAGACTGTAAAGACTTGTACAAATAAACTGGTATGGTGCCCACAGATCAGCGTGGTAACCAGTAAACGACACCGTCGTCTGCACGGTGGCGTCGTGCAGACGACGCCACCGCCCTCACCAAAATGGCGGCTCCCAACCTTCTCTTGCTGTTTATACTCTCTCTACACACATTATATATAAGTATCTACATTTGTGTTCACCATAGCGAACCACTAAGCTGGTATGGTGAGTGCAGTCAATAAAAGGTGGCCACACACAGTCAGAAGACATCGCCATCACCCTCTCTCCCACAGCATTACTCCTCCCTCCATGGCGCACAGCGCTAAATATCACCACAATCCTGCTATTATCAGAACCCTGGTCAGTTTTATCACAGTCAGGGGTCTTCTGTAATAATATAATCGCTACATAATAGCATGAACAAGTATATTTTGGCATTTTTAGGTGATGCTGTGGTCACAAGCTGAACAGCAGTGCTGTTCGCTCATGCTGCATGCGTCAGGCTTGGTTGCTCACTCAATACTGAGGCCAATAACACCCGGGAGTTTGGCCCACGATTTTTTTTTTTAAATGGCATCTGTTTACAAGATCCCTGATGAAGGTGTGGTGAACCCTGTGTATCCACGGGCCATTTAAATCTTGCGTAGTACTCCAACACGTCATATGACGTGATGCGCAGTTGACTGGAACAACGTCCAACACGTCATATGACGTGATGCGCACTTTAAGGGTTAATGTGGTCCTCGGGTGACAGTTTTCTATCTAGAACCACCCCTAGATCTCTTTCTTTGTCAGAATTCTTTAAAGATTTCTCACATAATTTATAGGTTGTGTGTGGTCTATGTTCTCCAATTCCACATTCCATAACATGGCATTTATTCACATTAAATTCCATTTGCCAAGTGTTGCTCCATATACTTATTTTGTCCAGGTCTTCTTGAAGGGCATGAAAATCATCTAGGTTTCTTATCTTCCCTATTATCTTAGCATCATCAGCAAACATGTTCATGTAGTTCTGTATACCAACTGGTAAATCATTTATGTAGACAATAAACATCACTGGTGCAAGAACTGAACCCTGTGGTACTCCACTTGTGACATTTCTCCAGTCCGATACATTGCCTCTGATTACTGCCCTCATTTTTCTATCGGTCAGAATTTTTTTTATCCATGTTAGAAGCTTACCTGTCACCCCTCCAATATTTTCCAGTTTCCAGAACAATCTCTTATGTGGAACTCTGTTGAAAGCCTTTTTTAGGTCCAGATAGATGCAGTCAACCCAACCATCTCTTTCCTGTAATATCTCTGTGGCTCGATCATAGAAACTGAGTAAATTCGATACACAGGATCTTCCAGATCGAAAACCATACTGTCTGTCTGATATTATATCATTTCTCTCCAGGTGTTCTACCCATTTAGTTTTGATTAGTTTTTCCAATACTTTTCACTATTACACTTGTCAATGATACAGGTGTATAAATGAGGGGGTCTTCCCTGCTGCCACTTTTGTAGATTGGAACTATGTTAGCCTGTTTCCACACGTCTGCTACGATTCCTGTACACATATTGATGCCTGAAAGATCTGGTGAAGTGGAATGCTGAGCTCAGATGCACATTCTCTCAGAACCCATGGTGAAACTCCATCTGGGCCAACTGCTTTGTTCTTACTGATCTCCTTTAGCATATTTTCCACTTCATCTCTAAGACACCTCTATACGCTCTATGTAGTTCTCTGGAATTCTTATTGTGTCTGGTTCTCTGAAGATTTCATTTTGTACAAACACACTTTGGAACTTTTCATTTAATGTTTCACACAGTTCCTTTTCATTTTCTGTGAATCTGTTTCCCATTTTCAACCTCTGGATATTATCCTTTACCTGCAATTTGTTGTTTATGAATTTGTAGAATAGGCCCGGTTCTGTTTTACATTTATCCGCTATCCCTTTTTCAAAAAATTTTTCTGCCTCTCTCCTTACTGCCGTATAGTTGTTTCTCACATCTTTGTATCGCTGGTATGTTTGGGGGTTTGGCCTCTTTCTATACTGATTCCATTTTTGTGTCTTTTGGTCCCTGGCCCTCTCACAATTTCTGTTGAACCAATCCTGTTTTCTGGCCCTGCATCTCTATTTTGGTATGAATGTTTGTGCCTTCCTCGTATATTTTGCAAAATTTGGCATACAATTCATTTACTTCCCTGCCTAGCAACAATTCTGTCCAATTACACTCATTAAAAAAAATTTTGAAGTTCCCCATAGTGACCTCTCCTTAAATAGAGTTTATCAACTGTTTCAATGTCCCCGTTTTCTTCTAGATGATATCTTAAAGCATAATCAATATCTAACAGGATGTGATCACTCTTTCCCACTCACTCACACTCCTCTGTGTGTGTGTGTGTGTGTGTGTGTGTGTGTGTGTGTGTGTGTGTGTGTGTGTGTAATTACCTAAGTATAATTACCTAAGTGTAGTTACAGGATGAGAGCTACGCTCGTGGTGTCCCGTCTTCCCAGCACTCTTTGTCATATAACGCTTTGAAACTACTGACGGTCTTGGCCTCCACCACCTTCTCACTTAACTTGTTCCAACCGTCTACCACTCTATTTGCGAAGGTGAATTTTCTTATATTTCTTCGGCATCTGTGTTTAGCTAGTTTAAATCTATGGCCTCTTGTTCTTGAAGTTCCAGGTCTCAGGAAGTCTTCCCTGTCGATTTTATCAATTCCTGTTACTATTTTGTACGTAGTGATCATATCACCTCTTTTTCTTCTGTCTTCTAGTTTTGGCATATTTAATGCTTCTAACCTCTCCTCGTAGCTCTTGCCCTTCAGTTCTGGGAGCCACTTAGTAGCATGTCTTTGCACCTTTTCCAGTTTGTTGATGTGCTTCTTAAGATATGGGCACCACACAACAGCTGCATATTCTAGCTTTGGCCTAACAAAAGTCATGAACAATTTCTTTAGTATATCGCCATCCATGTATTTAAATGCAATTCTGAAGTTAGAAAGCATTGCATAGGCTCCTTGCACAATATTCTTAATGTGGTCCTCAGGTGATAGTTTTCTATCTAGAACCACTCCTAGATCTCTTTCTTTATCAGAATTCTTTAAAGATTTCTCACATAATATATAGGTTGTGTGGGGTCTATGTTCTCCTATTCCACATTCCATAACATGACATTTATTAACATTAAATTCCATTTGCCAAGTGGTGCTCCATATACTTATTTTGTCCAGGTCTTCTTGAAGGGCATGACAATCATCTAAATTTCTTATCCTTCCTATTATCTTAGCATCATCAGCAAACATGTTCATATAATTCTGTATACCAACTGGTAGATCATTTATGTACACAATAAACATCACTGGTGCAAGAACTGAACCCTGTGGTACTCCACTTGTGACATTTCTCCATTCCGATACATTGCCTCTGATTACTGCCCTCATTTTTCTATCAGTCAGAAAATTTTTCATCCATGATAGAAGCTTACCTGTCACCCCTCCAATATTTTCCAGTTTCCAGAACAACCTCTTATGTGGAACTCTGTCGAAAGCCTTTTTTAGGTCCAGATAGATGCAGTCAACCCAGCCATCTCTTTCCTGTAATATCTCTGTGGCCCGATCATAGAAACTGAGTAAATTCGATACACAGGATCTTCCAGATCGAAAACCATACTGTCTGTCTGATATTATATCATTTCTCTCCAGGTGTTCTACCTATTTAGTTTTGATTAGCTTTTCCAATACTTTCACTATTACACTTGTCAATGTGTGTGTGTGTGTGTGTGTGTGTGTGTGTGTGTGTGTGTGTGTGTATAAATTAATAATAATAATATATAGTGTTTGTTTTTGTTTATTTGCTTTTAATACTGGTGTATATATATATATTTATACATGCTGTATAAGCATACAGTACTTGCTAGAATTTAAATTGGTCAAAACTTTTCTTGAACTCCTTGTGGTGTGTGTATTAATGATGATGTATGTGGATAAGGAGGATGTTGAATATGTTGGAAGTTGTCCGAGAAGATATAAACCTTGAGGAGACTGCATTAGCTAACATGCTACTCTAGTAATTAGAGAAAAATTTAGTGTATGGATGAATTCATTTGTGTACATCTTTACACATTTGAGACTTTTGGGGAAAAAGGGGGTAACTCATTTAATATAATCTTCCATATATTTTAGCTCTGACCAAAAAAAACTTTAAATGTTATTTTATTTTTTATTATTTTTTCAGGAAATAATAAAAAACAAGCAATGTGGATATGATGTAAGAAAGCAAGATTATGTGAGTATGATAGTATTTATTTTGTAATACCTCTTGAATTGCGCAGCATGATTATTATAACCTAAAGATTCTTGACAATATGATTTACATTCTTACAGTTGTTACTTGATAATAACAGATAATATTGTGGTACAGAAGTTCCATTCCATGTCTTGTAAATAATTTTTCAATGGATGATGGTAGCTGCTTCCTTCAAGCACTTCTACTGCTCCTACTCTTCTACCTTCTTTTTCTTCTACCCTTTCTATCTACCTCTTGTTTACTTTATCTACTCTAACCCTTTTTCTCTCATTGTAAACTTTCTCTCTTCTCTCCGTTATTCTGTTACGTTTCAAGGTACAGTATAGGGCAAGTACATAACTGGGCAAAGGAAACTTGGGTTATTTCAATGAGCGTCGATGTTCAACAAAATGTTAAAATACTAAAAAGCATTGTACATTTTTACAAGCAGAATACTGCATGTATGCACAAGCTTCTATACAAGAAGCTTGTGCGCACATGCGGGATCACATGGTAAAACTTGTCCAGGAGGTGTTTGAGCTGCCCAGGTGGGGGAAGGGGAGTCCTCTCGGGGAGCTCCACACAACAATTATTGTACTAGGCTGTGGACTATTTTCCACAACATTAAGCCTATAAAACTATACAGTATATATGTAGTCATACAATGCTCTACATTTTCATTGTAGATTCAGATTTTCTTTTTTTAAATTACAGTATAGTATTACATTTGTTATATATGCTCAGGTTTGATTGTTGATAAAATAAATGGCTTTTAATGCTTTACATTTATATGTAATTTCCAACTTTGCCTATTTTAATGTTTGTTTTTTCCAGCAGTCATGACATTATTCATCTTGTAGCTAAAATATAATGGTGATGGAATTTTAAATATAATTTTTGGGTTTCATATGCTTGGTGTAAGAGGTTATCAGTGTTACGAGTTTAAGACACGGCAGAATACAGTATTGGAATTTTCCACCCATATCTTTTTTTTCTGGGCTTGTGTAACATTGCTTTCCTATCCAGGTCTATGGGTAACAATGTATCATTCTTTGGGCTGCACTTCCTAGTTACTTGTACCTGGTGTGTTTAAATATCTTTGTTCTATTTCTTTATCATATTTGCTCTTGATTCTGTCAATGGAGTTAGCTTCCTCCACTACTACTGTTGGTCCATTCCACTTTTACTTCATACAACTTTTTCCAGTTCCTGTCTGGCTTGTTTGTGTTTCCAACTTCCACCAATATTGTTTCATTCTATTTTCCATTAATTTGATATTGCTATCTTTATTCATCTGAATAATTTGTACATAGTGATCATAGCCACTCTGGGCCACATCTCCTCTATAGTACACACAGTAATCACAATAGCGTGATACATCAAATGAACAAATCCACAAGGGCCATGATAAGGGTTCGAACCTACGTCTTGGATGATCCCAGACGCGCCTTAGTTGATTGCGCCACGACATGGTAAAAGAATTGCAACCGGGAGTGCTGCTGTTCTCACATGGTTCTTGCAGCCACTCCGAGACACAAACCGGGGTTTTACACAATTCCTCCATGCACCCAGGCTGTCAACAAGCTGTTCTACTTCTTCGCCCTTAATTTAGTACACACAGAAATCACAGAAGTACACACCTAATTGTGCTTGTGGGGGTTGAGCTCTGGCTCTTTGGTCCTGCCTCTCAATTGTCAATCAACTGATGTACAGATTCCTGAGCCTACTGGGCTCTATCATATCTACCTTTGAAACTGTGTATGGAGTCAGCCTCCACCACATCACTGCCTAATGCATTCCATCTATTAACTACTCTGACACTGAAAAAGTTCTTTTTAACGTACCTGTGGCTCATTTGGGTACTCGGTTTCCACCTGTGTCCCCTTGTTCGCGTACCACCCGTATTAAACAGTTTATCTTTATCTACCCTGTCAATTCCTCTGAGAATTTTATGGGTAGTGATCATGTCTCCCATTACTCTTCTGTCTTTTAGTGTCATGAAGAGCATTTCTTGCAGCCTTTCATCGTAACTCATGGCTCTTAGTTCTGGGACTAGTCTAGTGGCATCTCTGAACTTTTTCAAGCTTCGGCTTGTGCTTGACAAGGTACGGGCTCCATGCTAGGGCTGCATACTCCAGGATTGGTCTTAAATATGTGATATACAAGGTTCTGAATGATTCCTTACACAGGTTTGTGAAGGCAGTTCTGATGTTAGCCAGCCTCGCATACGCCACAGATATTATTCTTTTGATGTGGGCTTCAGGAGACAGGGTTGGTGTGATATCAACTCCTAGATCCTTCTCTTTGTCTGTTTCATGAAGGACTTCATCTCCCATTCTGTATCCTGTGTCTGGCCTTCTGTTTCCACTGCCTAGTTTCACTAGAAGTTAGTTACACAACTCTAGTTTCATAGAAGTGTGATATATCAAATGAACAAATCCACAAGGGGTCACAAAATTCACAAAAAGTTGCATTTCTTTTATCATGTCGTGGCGTAATAGACTAAGGCGCGTTTGGGATCATCCTGGACATAGGTTCGAACTCTCATCACGGCCCTTGTGGATTTGTTCTCCCCTATAGTTTAAATAGTTTCCTTAACCTCTCTAGTTTAGACTTCTTATTTTGGGCATTATATTTATTGCTAACCTTTTTAGACTGTATATTGTTTGTGCTTTATGAAGTGCAGATTCAATGCCAGGTTCTAGTGTTAGGGCTATAATAAATATTTACTTGAAAGTATATTCAGTACTGTATATCTATATCTTGTTCCCCCTATTTCTTGTCTTCATTACCTTTTCTGGGGAGAGCCCCTTCAGCTCCCCGGAGCTATCCAGGCTGATATGTATATTATTAGATTTTGGTATCAGTCAGTATGAATGTCAATACGAGTCAAAATGCTTGGAGTTCTTGCCTACCAGGGACCACGAGCCAGAACCTGGCCCACTCAGAGAGGCACGAGGAGCAATGGCCTATTGAAATGCACGTGTGTGTGGAGCATTCTATGTCTGCCGTCGACCGGGCTGGGCACCCAGAAAGGTAGGTGCCCCAAAACAAATCCTTAGTCTGGTTAAAAGTACTATAGAAAACTAAAAAGTAAACAGAACTCCCAATTGAAAAACGAGCATGATGTCACACTTGCTGCTCCGCTTCTCTGCGCAACTCGCCCCTTCCTGCGAGGGGGAAGGGGGAGCCCCAGACCCATCATGCTGGGTATCCACCTGCCAGTTCTCGGCCAATGTGATTGTCGTGTGGCTCCAGTTCCAGATTCTCTTGTGTTCTGCGTGCGAGCTGGGAGTAATATTCACAGGTACTCAGGCTGCATGTGCTTAGGGTTCCCTTCCCTGAGTGCCCTGTAAGTACCGCCCTTGGGGCTTGGGGTTATCTTCCACAAGTCACCTTGGAGACTACCTCTGTTGGTCTTTTGCTGCTCGGTGATTGACCGCCCTGAGTGTGTTGGGGGGTTTCCTCCCTTGTTTACCTTGGGGAAGTGGTACTTTTTGCACTGGTAGGGGTGTGGGGTACTGCGCAGCTAGTTTTCACATATTACAGCGGCCGGCTCTGTTTTTCCTGGGTACATTGTCCTCTTGTGGGGTTTTTCTTTTCTTTTTTGTTTGTGCTTGGTGGGGGTCTGCTTTTGTTCCCCTAACCACAGTTATTTTAGGGTCTTGACTGTCTGTGCTCGGTGGTATTCCCTGCTTGGCCCCCGTGAGTGGACACGTCCTGGGGGTTTGGTTTTAGAAGTTTGTTTGATAGACTTGGGCGCTGGTTAGCAGTACCCTGCCTGGGATTACCCTTAGCAATAACAGGCTAAGGGGCCCTGGGAAGCCCCCGTGAGGCTGCAAGGGGTGGTCTCGCTCATTACAAACTGCCACAATGCAGATACCCAGTAAGTTCAACGAAGGAAAAGAATTTAGAAACGTGACTGAACATCTTCAGTAGAACAAATAAATGAACAAACCAACCGCAATTTGACAATAATTGCTACATGAAAGGTGTTGATCACTTCGACCAAATGGTCAAATATTACCAGTTCACACAAAAATGTCACAAGTGGACAAAGAAAATTACCTAAATTTTCTTCAAATGACTCTACATAATTCATTTGTTTTGTACAAGCACTACACCAGTGATCCCAAGAAAATGACCTTGTTCCAGTTTCAAGAGGTGGCAATGTGGTCCCTATTGAAGTGGGATGCTGATGAGTGGCCTCTCACAAATAACACCATGGCACATGCTCCTGACATAAATGATGGTACAAATAACACCATGGCACATGCTCCTGGCATAAATGATGATGCAAGTACTTCTGATGCTGCCAATGTGTCGACACCCAGACCATGTAGTGTAAGGCAGCCTCTATTTCCTTCAACACCTCAAGGCGAAGACTCCTCATCTGACTCAGAACATGAGATGGGTGTGACAGAACACTCAGACACGAGTAGTCGTCGTCCTAAGAAAAACCCACGTATTGTTGATTCAGCAGTGTGTGTCAATAAGAATTTGACAGATGCCATCATTCGCTTGAAAAAATGTCTAAAGTATCGTGTTTGCTACAAGTCAGGAATAAGCAGACACACTAAGCTAAAGTGCAAAACGTGTGATGTTGCACTGTGTGCTACACCCTGCTACACAAGATACCACCGAAAGAGGGTATTTTGGATGGAAAAGAAGTAATCGCTCGCAACACATTCACTCCACCTACGAAACATCTTTTGAGCAACTTCAGGAACCTTTTTCTGAAGCAGGTGGAGTGGATCAAAGAATGCTCAACTTATTGTTGTACCATAATCATTCCGTAGGTAAGTGCAGACATTTTAAGTTTTTATAAATAAGATATTACGGTTTATACTTTGTCGTTGGTATTGACAAAGGTTTTCTTCAATATGGGCTTATATTCATATTTCCATTTAGAGCATTTTACTGCGAATAATTTGATGCCACAATGAACGATGTAGCACCAAAACTTCTGTTAGCAAACGGAAAATTTCTGTACCCGTATG